GAGCGTGAGTTGGGCTGCTGCTAACTTGATCACGAAGAGCGAGGAAGAGAAGAAAAACAAAATAGTCAGAAAGTCAGAAGAGGTGGAGTGGGAGAGGCATCCCCACTGCCTCCCTGCTGGACATGCTGCCCTGCTCTGAGCTGGCTTAGCTAGACAGCAAGTGCCAGGGCTTCAACATGCCGGCCGTCGCTGGTGCTCTTTTTTGCATGGAGCATCCAGGATGTCTGACCCATTGTCATTCTCTTCCGACACGCTTCTAGACAATCTGTGCTTAACAGCGCACAGATGAAACAGTGTTCCCTGGTCAGGAGTGTGGCCTCTGCGTAGGTTGTGATGCTGTGGCGTGGCTGTCCTGCCTGCACTGGTTGTCCTCCTCTCTCTTGACGTCCCTAACCCAATGCCTGTGGATGCAGGGGGGATGGGCCACAGGTAATGGCCGGGTTTATGTGCTCCGCCCTAAAAAGCACATCCTTCTGCCTCTTGTCAGTGCTGGTGTCCTGGACGAGGTGGGTAAACCCCATAGATCAGCTCTTATTTCATATGCTTGCCTTTGCTAGCTCTCTGGCGCATGGTTTGCTGCTGAAGAGCTCCAGTGCCTTCTCTGCTTTGAGCTGCCTTTTGCCTTTGCTGCTCATTTCTGGTTCCTTTCTGCTGTGCATGTATCAGGAGAATCCTGTCCCTGTGTTTCTGCAGACAGCAAATGAAAACCATTGCTTGCCAAGGAGAATGAGGCCTGCTGGGTGGCTGGCTCTTGTCTACCCCTCCATGTATCCCTGCTAGATGGATTTCTTATCCTAGGAAATCTCGTAGGAGGGAAGTGCTTGTGTTCTTGGTTTTGAATGTTTTGAGAGATACTTTGGTCCCTTTTCCAGGCAGCAAATACAGATGCAGGAGGATTTCACTGGGGTCACACGTTCTCTGCTCTGCTCACATTGTTCAAATTTCCTGTTTCTTCAACGGTGTGTTGCAGACATCCTTTTCAGGTCCAGATCTGCCTGTCCACCACCATGCAGCGGCTGGTGACACTCCCAGAAGTGACAGTGAGGGGAGTGGCGTAAATGTTTCTCTCAGCTCAAAGGCACTGCGGGAGTTGCAAGATCTGGAAGGCAGCAGGGATTGCTCGCCCACCCAGCCTGAGCTGCTGCACAGCTGGGTCAGGGGCTTCAGGGTCCCATCTTTTTCTCTGATTGGAATAGAGCAGGTCTTCTAGAAAGAGGCACTTAATCTCGATGGAGGAACTACAAGAACTGCACAGCCCCCTGGTAAGCCGTTCCAGTCGATACTTATCGTCATGATTGGCAGATTCTTTTTAATCTGAGCCTGTCTAGTTTCAACTTCAGTCACTGTCTGCTGTTCTGTTTTTGGTGGTTTGTAATGCTCTCTGCTGATATTGAAACCTCCTCTCCATGTAGACAGTCCTCTGTTGTGATTTACCGTTCTCATAAACTATCCTGGCAGTAATTCTCCTAAAAATAGAAACAAGACACCCAAGTAATAGCACAGTCTTGCCGTCTGAGCCGTCTAAGGAAGAGGTGTGCAAGCAGAAGTGCCTCCCTTTTCTTGTGACATGTGTCGGGGCACAGGGTGTGTCCTGGTCAGAGCTGGGTTTTGGGAGAGGTTTGAAGCCTGGTCTGGCGGTGCTGTGCCAGCTGTGGAGCTGGGCTCTTGAACACCATCTGCTGGTCGCTTCCCATCTCCACACTGTCTCCTGGCCCCTGTCTCGGTCTTGTCTCAGTGGACTGGCAGCAGGATTGCCTATCATTACATGCCAGGTTAGCCCGAACTTCTCCCATATGGGTGTGCAAAGATGTTTCCAGTTTAACCATGCTGATGCTAGAAGGCGGCACTGCAAAGGGTCTGGCTCGGACAGGGTCTGCTAAGAAAAACAGAGCGAGAAAGTCTCTCCTGTTACTCAGATCTCCTGTTTTGGCAGAGAAGGCACGATGTGCTGCCACCATGGCCTCTGTGGCACTCTCATTTCTGAAAGGATACGCTGCTGAGTGTGCCAAAACTATGGGGTACTTAATTTGTGATGCATTATAGAGCCCAGCCCCATATGCTACTGCCCCACACCATCTATCCCAGAGCCTCCTGGTATCTCTGCTTTGATGGATGTAGAATGGTGAGCAGTAGAGGATGAAGCCAAGTTTCCTTTCTTCTGCAATTCCTCCTCTATGCCATTTTCAGTTCCTCTTTCCCCCACAGAGTATCAGTTTGGAGCAGAGCTGCTATACGAGTGGGAGTTCAAGTGTGTGTGGAAGGGGATTGCACTGGGACCAGTTAGGGGCTCTAACACAGAAGTGGTCCCAGCATCCCGAGGATCTTCCTCTGCAGTCCTTGTGCAGAGGTCAAGTCCTGCCCAATAGTGAGCTGCTGTTTAGGATCACATTCCTCTCTAAAATAAAAGGATCCACACATCCATACTCCATGCACATCCAAGCCAACCATTGCCCCGTTGTTTACAAAACATCTGCATTTGGCAGTGCTGGGGTTTCCCTTATATTCAGTCCTCTTGACTATCATTGATAGGGACTACTGTGCTTGCAACACTTCTTTATTGGCAAAATCAGAAGCAAAGGTAGAAATATTAGTAACTCAAAAATAGAATTAGCAACTGCAAAACATAATGCTTGTGTGCTTTTTTGAAGTGATATGCATTTCGGCAGGGACTATAGCTAAAACATTGGCTTAACTTGGTCTTCATACTATTTCCATCCAACATTTGCTGGTGTCCACGCTATACTGTCCACATCCATCTCTTGGCATAGTTTGAGAGTACAACCATGGCACCTATCTGTAAAAGACCTCTGCTTTTCCTGCAGTCCGTCTGGGAGATCTGAAGCAACATTGAAAAAGTGACTCAAAGGATGTTGGGGCAATTGCAGAGCTTCCCTTCAGCAAACCAGCAGCATCTGTCCTTGCAGGGTCCTGGGGCTGACTGTGTGGAATGAAGTAATACCATGGGGCCCTAAAGAGAGCTGAACCTAGTCTTGACCTGCTTGGTACACGGGATCACTGTAGGACCAGATTAAGAACGAGGGGTAGTGGGAATGGGTAGGACTTCGGCTCCAGGAGGGAAAGAAGTGTCACGGAGGCGCACTAAAACTAACCAAAATGAAGGACAAACTCAAAACAACTGTATTGCACAAAACAACCAAAATGACACAACAGAAACCAATGAGAAACAGGGGTAAACCGAAATCAATCAATACTCCAATAACATTTAACACGTAACAGGTTCACGGTGTCAGTCGGGCGGGGTGGTGTTACTGCACGGCCATACACACGGCAAGGATGACCCAAAGTGCGCACGCACTCACTCACTAAGGGGGAAACACTCTCCCTCCCATGGGTACCCGGAGGGTGCAGTCACTCACCCGCAGCAGGGGCGGTGTGAGGGCTCACTCAAGGATATCCAGAAGAAAGTCACTCACCCGAAGGAGGCGAGGGCCCTCAATCCCGGGAAGTTTCCTCCGGCAGCGTCCCAGCCCGAGGGGAGAGGTTTCGCACCCAGACCCACTGCTTTGAGAAGGCCGCTCTGAGGGGGCCGCCGGCGGCACCCCGTTTATGCCCTGGGTCGCATCTGCGCTGTGGCCATCACTGGCCGTGATCCAGAAGCTTCTCCGAGCCCAGGAGCCTCAGGGGCTGCGGGCCCCACCTGGCGACCGAGCGGCCCCGCTCCCCGGCTCCCCCTGCCGGGGGGTGTACATGCCGGCGGGCATGGCGCGGCACAAACAGCGCGAAAATGAGGCGCGGAAAGCCAGTGATCGCCATCTTAAAAGCCCCAATCTTCCGGGGGGGGGGATGGCGGTGGTGGTGAAGTCCACACAGTCCACCCTGTGACCACAGTCATGATCCCACTGGTTTCTTTGGAGTGGTGGTACAGTCACCTCTTGCCTCCGAAGTTAAAAGGGGGCGTAGTGTTAGTGAGTTTAACACCCACTGTGGATCACCATCGTCGTGTGTATGGCCGTGCAGTAACACCACCCTGCCCGACTGACACCTCGGACCTGTTATGTGTTAGCTGTTATCGGATTGTTGATTGATTTCAGTTTACCCCTGTTTTTCATTGGTTTCTGTTTGTAGTTTTGGTTGTTTTGTGCAGTAAAGGTGTTTGAGTTTGTCCTTCGTTTTGGTTAGTTTTAGCGTGCCTCCGTGACAGAAGGTGTTAAGGACAGAAATGGTGAGTGTGCAGTACAAAGGTGTGAAATGCTGTACCTTCGCGAACGGCTGGACTCAATGAGCTTAAAGGTCCTTTCCAACCTAAATGATTCTGTGATTCTAGATTCTGGAACAGAATCCAGGTTGGATTATCCCAGATTCCTCCTTATGTGATCATGCACAGCAGCGAGAGTCTGGTGTAACTTTGTTATCGTCAAGGCCAGAGATCTGTGCAGTGAAGCTGAGGGACCCAACCTGCTGCCAAATTCTTCGTCAGCTGGTTCGCTCCTACGCTGTGGATTTTCATTTTTCTTCAGTGTGCTTTTGCAAACAATAAAGTAAGGGACGATAACCCTGTGATGGAGAGTTTAGGAGCTGTCCCAGGATTTGTCCCAGCACTCTGCTATCCCTTGGAATATGCTGGGAGAGAGGCTGGTTTTGTGGTTCAAAAAATAGCTTGGGGCTACCATGCTTTTCTCTCTGATCTGTCCTTCTCTGCATATGTTACTTGATCCTGAATGTTTGAATGCGTTTTAGCCCTGGCTTTCTCACCAGACCTAGCTGTGTTTTGGACAAGGACTGTGTATGGGTACGGTGCAAGGACAGCCCCTCAGGAGGCAGTCCTGGAGACAGAAACCAACTGGCCACCTTCTCGGCTGTCATTGCTATTACTGGGGTGACTGCACTGGTCAGACAGACTCTTTCCAAGAGTTCTTTTTTCTTCCCGGTGTTTCCTTACGTTAGGTGAGAGGGGTGTCTGAGAGCGATGTGAGATGGGAAAGCTCCCCTGCATGGCAGGGCACAGGAGCTGAACAGGACCAAAAGGAAGCTTGCACAAAACAGCTCTCTGTAAGGTCCATGGGAGAAAAGTATGTGTCAGTCCCATACACTGGTCCACGGGTCTGCATCACCTGCACAAGCAATGCGATGCTTCCAGGGACGTCATGCCTGGGAAGCCTGCAGTGAGTTATTTTCGGTCGTGAGTGAAAGTAAAGCCAAGCAAAAGGATGATGCTAGATATTAGGGACATACTGCAGGTGTCAGGGCTCGTGAGCAAGTTTCTGCTGGTGCCCGTACATGGCTGTAAAGAACTGGAAATAAATATGTGGTTGTTGGAGCCATGTTAGCAGTGGCATTGCATAGTGAAACAAGGCACTTCAATAAACACCCATATCATGTTGGAAAAGAACTCAGATAACCCAGAGGTAAAACTGGGATAGCTTAATTTTTCTGTCATATTCATGAGGTTTAATGTTTTCATTAGTAGGATTCAGAGCTTTCAGGGAAAGCTGTATGAAACAGAGAGGTGTTTGAGTGGCATGTATGGAGGGGTCCTGCCCCTGCGATCACATAACTGGCATGGCTGTGGTAGCTTCACGAAGACAAGAATTTCATTTAGAGCATTTCTAGGCAATAGTGTAACACTAACAATAATGAGAACGTGTTCCTTTGGGCAGGCTAACGTGTAAGAGAAGTTTTCACTGGCATCCTAAGCTGAGATCAGAAAAAAAAAAAAAATCAAATAGTAACATAAACTGTGAAAGCTTCTGCTGTCTCACATGTACAGCAGGGTGAGTGGAACTGTAAATTGATTTGATTAAACCTTAGAGAGCAGAAACACAGGGGATAGGAATAGATGGCGGAGATCCTACTGATTAATTCTGCGTACCACTTTGCTAGCCGTAGGCACGCAGAGCACGGGATTTGAGTCATAAACCCAGTAGAGTTCCTTAGTATCTCCCAAGCTGACTTGTTCAATTCATGTCGGGCCAGCTGAGTCTCCCAGGCTGTATCTCTGCTCAAGGAGAGGAGCTAAAATCTGAACGAGCACAGGCTCCATCTGTGCTGCAGTGGTGAGACAGTATTCATCTCACGCTGGCCTTGGGTCCGTATGGCTGCCTTGCAGCCGGTGACCTGTCTGTGCAAGTACGCTTGATGAAGCACGAACACAAGATCATTCTCGAGTTCAGTGCCTCTTGAGAGTCATTGTAATCAGAGTTTTCTGAAACTGAAAAGAAACATAAAATAGACTTTTGGCTCCAAAATCAGTAAATGTCGCTTTTATTCTGGGTTGGAACAGAGTTGGAATTTCACTCGGAGACTGAGTGTGTAGGAGAAGGACACATCACAGATTTCTTTCTGACGGTACTGTTCATATGTCTGTCAATGTTTGAACATTACATGCAGGCAGATGCTGAAACTCTGTCTGTCCCCTGGATGTGGCTGCTTGTGAATCGAGTGCAGTCACTTCAGACCCGTCCCCACCGTGTTGGAAGGCATTTCCTGGGTAGAGATTCGCTTCCGTGGGATAAATAATTCCATTCACACATTTTCCCTTGTTCTTTTGTATTTCTTCCTTTGAAGGCAATGCAAACAAACAAACAAACAAAAAATGAGTACATTGCATGCCTGGTTTGCCTTAGGGGATGTGGAAAGGCAAAGTGGAGCTCTCTGGATGTGAGCCAGGAGGAGGCTGTTCTGTTCATAGCCACAGCCCTGTAGGGCTGCAACTGCCACTCTTTGTCCATGCATCTTCTCTCTCTACCTTTGCCTTATTCAGTGTTCCCGGTTGAAGGTGGGGTTCATGCCTCCTTTGGGATGAAGCGCTCTTTGCCAGTCTCACATCAAGCAGCTGCTGTAAATCCCAAGCTGCCCAGGAACCACCAGAGCTACCTGGAAGGGGGAGATAGTCCAGGTGATGCAGTGTAGTGCAGACAATTACTTGCACTTCAGCTTCACCTCTTTCTTTTCTGTGCACCCTGAACCTGCACTGAGGCTTGCAACTGAGTTGGTGAAGAGATGTAGAACTGAGGTGGCACTTGAACCCTGCTAAGCAGTTCTGTGTGTGCCTGGAGAGCAGGTGACAACATGGTGCCCATCTCCCGCTGTTCCTAATGATCTGGATCACTCCTAGTAATCTGGATCCTAATGATCCTGTATCTGGATGATATGGATCCAGATTACATCTAGTTCGGTAATGTATGCATTGCTAATTACATGCATTATTAGTATATAATCAGCATATTGATAAATTTACTTCAGCACACTACTCCTATAGGCGACATGGCTCTGCAATGTTTCTTCTTGAAAATGTCTGAAGGTGATGGTTCCCCTGGAAATTAAATTGGGGCAGCACCTCCATGAGCAGTGCTTTGACCCACCAATATATCCACATTAAAGTAAATGAGTGCCAGATGCATGCCTTTCTTTCTCAGACACTTGATTATTTTATGCTTTGCATTTTACTGCTTAATGAGAGTCATTTTCTTGGACAGGTCCAGGTGCTCATGGGACATCAAATACAGAGGAGTTTCATTTCTCTCCCAAAGGATGTTCTGTGTAGCCAGTGCTCCAAGGGAAGGTTGCTTCATGTTCTCAATGAAGCTAGGACAGATGAGAGGAGAAATGGATGGAAGGTCTTTGGGTGTATTGCAATCTCTACAATGCCAAACCACATGGTCCCTTTCCAGATGTGTGTCTGGTTAGACTTTACAGTATCTAGATATTGACTTAATAGGTTGTGTTTTTTTCCTTTTCTCAGCAGAAACCCAGAAAGTCAACTGCTCAGACAGGAGAAGATGCCTTGAACGGCCATCTTCCCCCCGGCTGGCAGAGCTATATGTCTCCCCAGGGCCGAAGGTACTATGTGAACACCTTCACAAATGGTAAGTGGGGAGGGGGGCTCCGGTAAGTGCGTCACCCTAGCAGTACAGATCTGTTGCAGGAAATTGTCTTTCAAGTTGATTTTGATGACAAAGTAGGCCCAGAGTCAAAGGAATTAATATGACCCTGCCACCATATGAAAGAAAATAATAAGAAGATTTAGTCTTCTGATCCTGTCTTACTTCTGACCATTAGAAGACATCTGAAGCTTTTATAAAAGCCAGGGAATGTAAAGTAGAAACACCCCTGCTGTAAATGTTTTAGAATATAAAACACTGTTAAGGATATAATTTTTACCACATTCCTTATTTCCTTTCCCTTTAGCTGGAGATATTTATGTCTATATATGTACATATATGTAAAATAGTTTGATAGAATGTCAGGTATCACTAAAGCACCGTTAGGGGAAAACAGAAATAGTTAATTGAAAAGTTGCTCAAGTCAGAGTCAGCTTGCCCATGGAGACAAGGGAAGAAAAACACATGTAATGGGACATCAAAGACAGACTTTTTAGTCTGTGTTTGTGTGTTTTATTCACTGTCATGCTAGTGGTGAAGCAGACTTAACTCACAATCTTATCAGCTGCTGAAGACCTGTCAAACTTGTACCCCCTTTGGCTTGCCTAAGACTGTGTCTACCTGCTTTTCTTGTCATGAGCTCAGAATGGTGTTGCAAAACAGAGACTTGTGACCAGCAAAACCAGATTTCTTTAGAAGAAAGAATGACAGAATGACAGGGGAGGAAAGCACAGCAGGAGTTCACCTTGTTCACAAAGCCATCAGGAGCGACCACTGGCATTCCTCTTTCTGACTCACTGTGAGTGCAAGGAGAGCCAGGGGCTGTCACAACGTGCCTCACAGTCCATTCAGGGACTGATGTGCTTTATTTCAGAAGCCTTTGGTCCAGAACTTGGCCAAGTCATTATTTACCTGAGTTTTATGCATTGACATCTCATAGGACCCTCCAGAAGGCACATTACCATTAAACACTGGCTTAATTGTCAAGCATAGTCTGCTCTGGCTCATGGGCAGCATCCTCTGCATGCCTAGGGACATCAGTAGGAGTTAGATACCTTGTCCCCACTGCAATTCAGAGGTGGGTGAGGAGGTGATTAAACTCAGTCCCGAGCCATCATGGTGATGGACCCTTACTCACATGCACTGGGTTGAGGTCAGATAAAACCAGTAAGAGGCAGAGCCTGGTTTTTATGTGATAAAAGCTCTTATCACAGGACCCCTAACCCAGAAAGGTAGATGGCCTGGACTCAGTTTCTCCATAATGTCAGGCAACTTTTTACTTTTCCTCACAGAAGTTGTAGGCAATATAACAAGGGCCAATAGCCACATCCTGCTTGGTAGGCCCAGGTCAGAAATCAGGAAAATTATTTTCTCTAGGAAGGCTGGATAGCCCTGGCACAGGCTGACCAGGGAGGTGGTGGAATTTCCATCCTTGGGAGATCTCAGAACCTGGCTAGACAAAGCTGTGGCTGACCTGATGTGTTGTTAGCAGTGATCCTGCTTGGAGTGAGTAGCTGGGCTGGAGACTTCCAGGGGTCACTTCCAACCAGTCCTTTTTGGGAGAATGCCCAAACCACCTATAGTGCTCTCAGCTACTGCAATGGGATTGCTATGCAGCAAAAATGGTTCTCAGAATAACAGAGAATAAAAGAGACAGTAGAAGCGTGATTTCTGTGTTCTGGTCCTTGCTTTAGGGAGCACTTATTCAAGTTCTGTTGAGATGAGAAAGCTCCTCACCAGAGTAGTCCTAAACCCAACTGGCTTTGAAGTTAGGATGCTCTTGTTTCTTATGCTGGACTCAAGAATCATGCATTTCTAAGCCTCCCACACCTTCCATGAGGGCTGTAGCCTTTTGTGAGACAACAGGATTCTCTTGCAGCGTGTACAGGGCCACTGTGGCCCCTCGACTCCTCCAGCTTAGCTGGTGTTCCTGGCAAGCTCAGTTTCTCTCAGCCTGCTCAGTTAGAATATGCTGCTGCCTGAAAGTCTTCTAGCTGTGTAGATACTGCTTTTTGCTAGTTTATCAGTTTGATGATATTGCTTGGGAGTATTTTTGCTCTAGCTGTGCTATATTGCATTATCAGATTGACATCCCAAATGCCTATGCTTCCTCAACATGGTTTATGTGCCAAAGAAGTGTCACCTGTGGTGTCACCTAGGCCTCAGACAAAGCAGAAGCTGAATGCAACCTCAAAGCCTTTCTGCCGAAGTGTGTGATGAAGCCTCATCCAGCTCTGGCATAAGCATCTGTCTGGACACCATTTTGATTTAATCTAATTGGCTCTGACCTTTGTCCCTGCAAAACTGGCAGTGCAGGACTATCCACAGGCAGATTGTCCAGTCTCATGTTGGATATGCACTTTCTTCCTTGACTGTGCTGCAAAGTTGGACCTGCTGAGCCATGCAGTCACCGTAAAGTCACATTTGGCATGCAAGGCTTGCTGTCTAACAAGGGGATTGCACCTTGACACTCAGGAAGTATTCTTTGGCTTTGAGCCATATGATAAGTCAAAGACAATATGCTATAAAACTGCAGTCCCCATCTTTCCTATGATAGAGCTGCATTGGCATGGGTAATGTTTACTGCAAGTCTCATAGACCGGACAGCTCACTGACTGCACCTGATGACTTGTCTTAACTTCATATTTGTCCTGTCATTGCTGCAGCTGCTGCTGGGAGAATCAAGATAAACAGTGACAGCATTTGTCATGGGGACGTGGTGCCAGCGTACCTCTCTGTCACAGGGTTTCATGGGCTTCCTTCCTGCTTTGCCTCCGTAGCACCATTGTTTCAGCAGCAGGAGCTAGGTCTCTTTTCCGCCAAGGTCTTATTTGTGTAGATATACTCCTAGGTTGCTTTCTCTTTATCGTAGCTATCACCAGATGGTGAAAGTACGCTGGAGCGTTTTAGAGAGAGATCACTGTTCGGTGCACAAGCATGGTAACTCAGAGGTCAGTGGAAGCTAGCTGGTTGCCCTTCAGTCTGATCCACGTAGTTAAAGATCTGCTCACCATTACCCACCAGCAGCGGTTGATGCAAAACTCTTGGTTTGTAAGGTCATAAACGTTTCTCAGATCTCCCAGGGACCAGTTATCTCTTTACTGAGATGGATGATCAGAAAGCGTTTCAAGACCTCCTCCACACTCCACAAATTCTCTGTGTTTTTTTTTTTTTTCTATCAAGGGGAAGTCTGGGTGTTCAGCAGCTTTCACACAGTGAGTCACAAAGTGGCTGGTTGACTTGCTGTAAAACCACCGTAGGGGTAACAGCCATTGCTAGAATGTACATCTGGTCTCAGCTGAAAGAGAAGGGACATTGCTAACCCATCAGGAAACACTGTAGACCCTGTGCACGTTGCTTTCCCATGGTCTTTCCCCTCTGATTCCACAGCTGAGACGGTCTGAAACGATGCTTTGTCTCATGGCCCACACATGCAGCAGGAGACTGTGAGGGGTCAGGGAGCACTGCTTTGGGTGCTGATGGCTATAGTGCCTCCCAGGAAGGGCATGAGCACTTCTCTTGCTAGGACACTGCAATCCTGACGAACCATACTGATCACATCTCCTTGCTGGACAGAGGTCCATCTTCAGTGGGGTTGATGAAATGTAGACTCTTTTAGAATATAGCATAGCATGGGAACAGCTCTGGGTTCTGTCCATGCAGCCCAGCAGAATCTGGATGTTGAGTCTGCCTACGAGAGAAGGATGTTAGAGATACCCACCCAGCTACTCTTGTGTCTGGTCTCAGCCAAATGCCAGCCCTTTTCTACATGTATTAATCCCATATAGATGGGTGCAGCAAGTATACTTGTTAATATACAGACTATTAAAAAATACAAGATTCTGTGTAAGACACATTTCATAGTTAACCATGCCAGTGAGTCACTAGAGGGAAGAAAAGGGAACTTCTTGAGGCAACAAAGTGTTAACTAGTCAGTCAAACAGAGTAGTTCCCACCCATCTGAGGAAGAAATATTTGCATCTCCAAGGGAGTGAAGCAGTCCTTATTTTAATGAAGACAAATGGCCAGCCTATCTCCTGGATAAGGAATAAGTACTGTTAAGATTCAGAGTGAAAGATTAAATCTGTCTGAACCCCCTTTAAAGGGCTTGGGAAGGAGCCTTCCCCGAGCCAAGGAGCTTCCCAGCGCTGTCCACATGAGTGGACCTTGTGATGCAGACTTTCTCATGGAGGGCTCTCCTTAACAGGTGCAACAAGGCATAAGGTATGCTCGGAGAAGGAAGCTCTGTGTAGCACCTTGCCAGGAGAGGACAGCACTTTGCAAATTTTTTTTTTTTTTTTTTTTTTTTTTTGTTTACTCCTTGTGTAGAAGTGGTCTTTTGGTCTCTAGAGCTTCTATTGTGCTAGGTACCTTCTCTGATGTATTTATAACCTTGACCTAGGATTTCTAAAAGTCTAGATCGCAATGCCTTAAAGAGAGGTCCAAATGTCAGAAAAGCTTTAGAAACTAGATTCCTTTGCAGCATATAATTTGGCACTCCAAATCACTGCTGACTCTTGAAAACTCTGGCTTTGATTAATAACTCGTTCTATGAAAGTACCTTCTTTATTTTCTGACCTATCCATGTCATGTCATTGGTTTAGTTGAGGTTTTCTTTTTTTTTTTTTTCCACTTCCGTCTTTCACAAATGCTTTGCTGAAACTAGATGCCGTGAATAAAGTGTGTTATTAGAATTGTACATTAACATAGCTGCACTGGAAGGTGAGTTTAAGGCAATTTGGATAACAGCAAGGCACTCTTCACCAAAAGTTAAGGTAGATGCTTCAGCTGGGGGACCTCAGCAGTACACTGTCTGCTCCCAGCACCTTCTGCTGCCTGGAGCAGGTAGAGAGCTGGCACCAGAGGGGTGGACCCTCTGACATGCAGCAGAACACTGGGACACATCCTTGGACTGTAAGGGCTCCCAGGGACCTTGTTATATGGGGCTACACTGAAAAACGAGTTTTTCTTCTCCTCCGTTTGGA